GGCGACCAGTGATCCACCTTTCTCCTCTACTCCTTTGTCTTGGCACCTGAAAGGTTGTTGTTGAACTTATTGGAAGTTATGTGCTTTTATTTATCGATGCATTTGTTTCAGTGCTGGGGCTTAAACTCAGGGTGCGGTGCATGCTGGGCTCGGCCAAACTGCAACCCCAGCCCCTGTGTGCACTTAATGAATGCCTTTCCATGACTGATGAATGATGTTGCTGGGTTGACTCTCCTTTCCAGATCTCCAGTGCATCCATACGTGATGCCAACTTCAGAGAGCTCTCCCATGGGCAGAATTAAATGGAGAACAAACGAGAAAAGAGGCCAACAAGGACCCAGGCTTCCGCTGGAGGGGTGAACCAGTAAAAACATGCTGGAAACTGGAGGGGCATGTCTTTCCATTTTTCCTCCAGAGTTCCGTGACGTGCTAGGAAGCTCATTCATAGGACCCAACAGGACTGGAATTTTTTCACAAAACGTTGAATGCAAACTCTTTATTCTGTTCATGTAGTAGCATGTAGTGGTTACAACCATGCATCTCTTAGAGAAACTGGTAGGAAAATAATCACTCTTGACATGGCTTGGCCAAAATGAAATTTAATTGAGCATGGCAACCAGGGTTGAATTCACGGTTTAATTATGTGAACGAGAAGGAAGACATGGTCTACAAACTGTATGTTGAACTGGGTTGTCCTTTCTCTCTCTGGGGACTTGGATGTCCTGAATGGTAGTTATGGTAGACCTGGTCTTCTCAGCACCAGAGGCTCCTGCTGGCCTTGGTGAGGTGGGCAGAGGCAGCTGGCTGTGGTTGAAGCTTTCTTTTTTAAGGTAAACTCACATGTTGGTCAAAGCTCTGCCTTTTGCCCCGGGTTCAGGACTTACATGACTCTGTGAGCATACTAATAGACATGGACACATGGACATAACTCACAGACAGACATGCAGACATTCTGACACATAGAAAACACACTCACAAACTCACATATTCCCACAAGGCATGCATGTACACACACATGTACACATGTACACATGCTGCTTTCTCACACATTAGAGCTCACACAGACTTCTAGTCATATACAGACTGTCATAACAGTTCACACATTTCTCAAAAAATGGTCAATTTGGAGGATCGCACATTCTAGGCAAGCTTTGTACCACAGAGCTCACCTCCTCACATTGCTCTCAGTCCTTGAATTTTAAATATGTACACTGCCATTCACACATTTACCCACTCATTCCTGGGACAGTCATGATGAGTGGAAAGCCGGAGGCTCCTCCTGCTTCCGCCTCGATGACCTGCTGGCTTGGAGACAAGGTTATCAACAGCCTTGAGCTCCAGGCACCCACACAGCCAGGTGTGGGTTGGGCACAGCCTTGTTTGTTTGTGGTTGTCCTTGGTAACCACAGATTAGGCCACAGACAAAGCCAAGTCAAGGCCATAAAGTGGCTCTTAGGCAGGTCTCTCAGAGGGGCCCTGGGTCAGGTTGAGAGAAGGACATGGGTCCCAAGATCTTACTGCTCATAGCTCAGGGTCTGTGGATCTTTCCTGGGATTCCCTTTACTGCCACCTTCTGTCACCTTGACTCCAGTGGGTGCTGTCCACAGGAGGAGGGGAAGGCAACTGGGACTCGGAGGAGCAGTCCTCCTTGCTTCAGCCTCCCAGGCATAGGACAGAATATGTTGGCTTTCTGTGTTGGTAGAGTTCAGGACCAAGACCTGCAGACAGGCGTGTCTTATAGGATGTGTTTATGGAGCTGACTTGAGCCTGCACATGCACGGCTCCCTGAGGGTGTGTCCTGATGCTTGGAACACAGACTGCAATCCTTCTGCAGCTTGCTCAGCCTCCATGGTGCTATGCCCTGGGTGGTAGGTGTATATCGTGGAGCTATACACTGAAGGAGCTATCTCAGCTCAGACTCCTGGGTGGAGACGCCTGTAGGACCGTACCTGAGGATGGCCTGGCACTGGGCCCTTGTTGCAGTCCCCTGCGTTGGTGTCTGCTACTCAGTATTCAGTACAATTCATGGCCTTGGATGGATATCCTGAGAACAGCCTAGAGGTGTCCCAGGCACACAGTGCTTCCTTCAGTCACGTGAAAAGGGCCCAAGGACCAGAGTGTTTGACCAGAGCTGCAGCTGAAGATGAGGAACAAGCAGATGATATGAGGTGCCTGCCATTCTGATCTGGACCCTGGGCAGAGATCCTCTTCCTGTCAGCTTATCAGTCCCCCCTCTTGCTCTGTCACCTGGCTCTTCATCTTCAGGAGATGAAGTTGGGGAGGTGGGCAGGGGCAAAAGCAGTAGTGACGATGAGCCCCAGAGCTTTGTGGGCTCCAGTGAAGAGAAGGGAGTGTGGAGAAGTTGTGTCCTGCCTTTCTAGACAGGGCAGATGGAAGGTGGGACCTGCTAGCCCACAAAAGCAGCCAAGGAGCCCGATCACAGGGCTGCTGAGTGTCCACGTGTTTCTTAGTTCGGAGCAGACTGGCATGAAGCAGGAACATGGGCATCCTGAGAGAGGCAGTCTTCATTCTTGGTTCTGACTGGCAGCAATTGCCCTCCTTATTCTAAACAAGGGGGAGTAAATTAGAAATACCAGTTACATCCAGGTGTCTCCTGTCCTGACATCTGATCATAGCTACATTGGATGGACACATCTTGATTGTTTCCTTGGTTGTAGATGGTCTGTCCAGGACTTGATTGAGTAGCCTCTCCTCTCATTTGCCATTCCTGGTGCTGTACCCTGCACACCACTTGTTTATATGGGGATGTGGGATATAGAAAACATCTGATACCCCCCTGTGTGTGTGTGTGTGTGTGTGTGTGTGTGTGTGTGTGTGTGTGTGTGTGTGTTTTAGACAAGGTCTCACTGTGTATCCTTGCCTGGCCTGAACTCTCTAAGTAGACCAGGCTGGCTTCACACTGACAGATTCACCTGCCTCTGTCTTCCAAGTTCTGGGATTAAAGATGTGTGCTCATGCCCTGCTCCTCACTGTTGCTGTTAAACTGGTTTCTGGTATGGCATAAGGAACTCCTTCCATACATGCTTTTGGTCCATTACTTGAAAATATTGATGAACTTCATAGTTAGGATAGTTTTCAAATTATAGAAAATTAAGCATTCGTTTGGTGTATTTAAAAATCTGTATAATGCAGAATACTTGATGAGTCAATATTGATACATTGTTAACCAAAGTCCACAAGCCCATAGTGTACACAGGGAGTTTATTGGGTGTTGTTCGTTCTGTGGGTTTGGACTGTTGTTAGTGACATGTACCCACCATGACAATGTCAATCCGAGCAGTTCAGCTGCTCTCAGCACTGTCTGATTTCCCTCTTACTCATCTCTTCCCTCAGCCTCTGATAACCGCTCATACTTTACTGTTTCTATAATTGTGTATTTCCTAGGATGTCATAGTTGGAATCATGTAGCAGGCAGGATCTTCAGGCTGGCTGCTGCTTCTTCTTAGTGGTATACATTTTTATGTGCCTCTGTGCCTTTCCATGTCCTTTGGGGCCATTTCTGCTTACCGATGACTATTATTCTGTGTTGTGGAATACAGGTGACATCCTAGAGGCAGAGACTGATTCCTCATGCATTCCTTACCAGCGTGACTGTGTCACAAGGCACCAGGATGCCTGCGTGCCCCACGTGGAGGCTTGCTGGAATGGAGTGAATCACAGTGTTCCATTAACCATGAGTTCCCCTTGGTCCAGTGTGGTCACTGTACTATAATGTCCTATCACCAGCTCCCTGTGTTTCCAAAGCCATGTGTTAGTTTTCACTTTACATTTTTTTTTTGTGGGCTTCTTTCCCCATCCACCCATCAAAATTTAATGTGTACCTGATGAGCTGAGGACACACAAATCCAAAATTCGTGTTTCTGTCTGCTAGTTGCTGTAGGAGTACAGAAGAGATGAGGATGGAGTTAGAGGCAAGGGTGGGTGCAAAGACTGAGGACCCCTGTCTCTGCCAAGACTATGTATATGAGTCAGGATCCTGGTGGAATAATGGCTTGTCCCAGACAGATGAGTGGCCATGTGTCACGTATTTCTTGAGAAACTTACTGAGCAAGATAAGCAAGAGACCTATAAATAGTGTCCACATCAGGGACCAAGGTCACACTGCTGCCGCCTGCTCCAAATTGCCCATGACAGTGACTGGTCAGACCCCTGGTGTCTCCTCCTTTTCCACAGTTTCAGAGCACTCTTTGAGAACTGGAGCGAGCCAGGGGTCTGAAGTGGGAGAGCCCGGAGAAAGCTGGGGAGTGCGGCAGGTCACAGGGGCAAGGTCCCTCAGCAGCCTTCCAAACAAACCAGAAGCAAGTCCAACGTGTTGACTCACCCAGGGACTTTTAACTCGGGGACACAGCGGTCTCTGAGTTAACACTTTCCTTTTGGCCTTCACAGCTGTCTCACAGTTGCTGTTCTTGGGGTGTAGCAGAGGTCTCACGGCTTTCCCTTGAATGCTTAGTGAGCTGACTGTGGGAGAGCCAAAGGGAAGTCCTTTCCGCTTCCTTCGTGTGCCCACAGGAATAAATACATTTTTGGCTCCGTTCTCAGTTTCGTATGCATAGATAGTTCTAGAGAAAGCAACCCATTTTGCAGAGAAAACAGTCATCCCTGAATGTGACTGTAAAGACTGTGGGCAGCTTGGAACCACCCTTCAGCGCCCCCCACCTTCTCTGGGTCCCGCTTCTCATGCTCCCCAATGAGGAAGGACTCCCCTGGGAGTACATCAGTTGCTTGGAATTCAAGGTGAACTTCTGTTTTTATGAATGATGTGCAGATTTGTTCGTTTTCCTTTTGGATGGGTGTGTCTCCACTTTTTTTTTTTTTCCTCTTGAAATTTTCAAAAGGGACCGGAACTTCCCCAGAATTAGCAGAATGTGGGTTCTGTGGACTGCAGGGATTGTGACATAAACGCAGCCTGGGGGAACCCGCTTTGGCTGATGGGCCCATTGCCTGAGAGCCTCTTGCTCATGTTTCTTTTCCCTTTCAAGGTGGCGATTCCCTGCTCTGTGCACGTCCCTCCGGGCCAGGTAAGACTGTCACATTCCTTTGGGACTTGGTGTGATAAGGTAGGGTGGTCTTCTTGTTCAAGCTCTGCTCTCCCTGGGCACTTTTCTTATCTTGAGGGTGGTTTTCATTAAGATAGAAAATTCTGCTGGACGTGGTGGCACAAGCCCTTAGTCCCAGCACTCCGGAGGCAGAGGCAAGGCGGATCTTTGAGTTTGAGGCCAGCCTGGTCTACAGAGTGAGTTCCAAGGCAGCCAGGGCCATACAGAAAAACACTGTCTTGAAAAACAGACAAAAAGACAAATCCCTGTGCTCTTTTGTGGCAGCAACCTTTAGGATCAGTAACATCTACCTTTGGGGCTTGGACCCCTGAATTAAAGGGACTTGTGTTGTCTTCAGTGTCAGTACCAGTGTCCCAGGGTGGCTTTGTAAATGATCCAGTGATGCCAGAACATTCACCTCTGACACATGCTGTGCTTTTATCTCACTGACAGTCAACATGGCAACACTTTCTCTTTGACCTGTCATTGGGTGGATGTAAAATTTCCCCCTGCTTCTCAAGTGATTCCGCTTTGAATGTCATGACAGCCTGCCCTCTGTGTTTTCTCGGTCCCCATCCATTGTCTCTAGTGACTTCTAGTGTGGACTGGGAGATAGGGAGCAGGTAGCCAGGAGTGGCCCAGAGGAGGTCACTGTGATGCTGCCTGCCTGAGGCTGACAGCCTCGCTTGTGAGGGAAAGCAGTGAGGCTACCACTTCTTCCAAAGTGCCTTTCATGAGTGTTGCTTGACTTATGCAAACTGGATGGGGTCATGCTGCCATGCTGCTCTTCCCGTATGCAGCACCGGATAGCTCGGTCGGTGTCTTTGCTTCTTTCCTGTCTTTGTGGACAGAGCCCCGAGGTCTCTAGACACGAGGCCGGTTCTGGCTGGCTGTCTTGTAGGGTGGTAGAACGTTCTCTCAGGGCGCAGTTGAGAGGTGGCATTCCAGCCGTGTTCTCCTGAAGAAGCCAAGCCCAGATACCAGCCTCACTGTTCAGCCTCAGTTTTCCTTCCGTTTCCAGTGAGGGTGGTGGTGTTCCGTGACCTCGCTGGCAGCCACATGAAAGAAAAGGGATTTTGGGTTGGTGCATCACAGATGCCTCATTCACAATGGCTGTTGTAGCTAGAGTTTTCCTGTTTTGCCCACAGTTAGGACAAATCTCTGTCACCCGCCAGTCCCACAGCCGCTCAGACCCAACCAAGTAAACACAGAGACTTATATTGCATACAAACTGTATGGCCGTGGCAGGCTTCTTGCTAACTGTTCTTATAGCTTAAATTAATCCATTTCCATACATCTATACCCTGCCACGTGGCTGGTGGCTTACCAGTGTCTTCACATGCTGCTGGTCATGGCGGCGGCTGCAGTGACTCTCTGCGTCAGCCTTCCACTTCCCAGAATTCTCCTCTCTCCTTGTCCCACCTACTTCCTGCCTGGCCACTGGCCAACCAGTGTTTTATTTATTGACCAATCAGAGCAATTTGACATACAGACCGTCCCTTTGAATGCTTTCAAAGGTCTCCTTCCTCTGGGAATGTAAGCTATGCATCTGACGTCATCAGAGGGATTTCTGCCTACTATAAAGACCAGGTCAGAGCACTGAGGGTAGAGTACCATAGACCCACATCCAGGCTGCCCATGCTGGTTTCAGGGCTTCTAGGGGCACTGCCAGCCCTCCCCCCCTTCACTTCTCTGTGAACTGCATAGTCAGGGTCTTGAGATACATCTGCATGTGTGTTATGCATGCCTTTGTTATGAGTGTATGGGTACATAGATGTTTGTATTATACCTACCTGTAATTGTTATGTTTGTATGAATATGTGTATTATACAGGTATTTGTTGTATTTATATGAATGTGTATTATGTTTGTAAATGTTGTATGTATTTGTTGTTTATACTTTTCCTGTGTATGTGTATTGTGTATGATTATTGATTGCTCTGCCTGTGAATTTGCATGGGTGTTTTTGTGTAAATAACTTGGGTATATATACTAATTTGTGTCTGTTATATATGTGATTTTTATATGTACTTGATTGTGTGCATATATATATATATATATATTCATAAATATAAAACATGTATTGCTTAAGTTCTGAGAGATACACCACTGGATGGTATTTGAGCATACTGAGTGGTATAGCCAACCATAATGGCATAACTGATGCTTAATTTTTTAAAATGTTTTAAGCTTCTTTTGATAACATCTGACACCCAGACACACATATATTAGCTGAGGCTACCCACAGTCAGGACATCATTGCTATTTTCTTCTGTCTCCACGTGTTGTCTCCCTAGGACGTCTTCAGAGGCAGTAACACATGGAACTCTCACCTCCTGTGGTAGCTGGAGCCCCTGAAAATCTGTCAGAGGCTGTTTTATAGTTAACATTAAAAAACAAAAATAAACAAGGGGTCTGGAGAGACGGTGCAGTGGTTAAGAGCACTGACTGCTGTTGCCAAGGACCTGGATTTGGTTCCTAGCACCCACATGGCAGCTCACAACCACCTATAACACCATTGAAGGGGATACAGCACCCTCTTCTGGCCTCCTCAGGCACTGCACACACCTGATACACATAAATATCCATGAGGGTAAACCCTTATACATATGGTAGGAAATTAGATTGGAAATCTTAAAATAAGTAGGAATATACTCTGACAAAAATTACAGCATAGGGGATGTCTCCAACATTTCCACAGCTGTTACTTGTTTTTATCAATTATTGTGGACTGGGCATCATAGAATGTGCTACATTTTCATGTGACTGGCTGTGCAGTAGGTCAGCTCACTCCAACCTCACTACAAGCACTGAGGGACTCAATGAATCCCTATGTTAGGGCAGCTGTGGCGTTTCCAGGTGGTAGGAAGCTGCAAGCTCTCTTATAATGAGACTACTGTCATGTGGTTAGTGTTTGGACTGAAATGTTATGTGGCATGCCTTTCTCTTGTCTGTCTCTCTGTCTTTGTCCCTGCCCCCTCCCACCCCCCACCCCCCGCCCTCCCCCATAGGTGTGCTTTTCTTCAAGGTAATCATGCACATGCCAACTCTGTATTAAGTGCTCAGACCCTTTTCAGACTGCTTTGTCAGACAGTTCTCTACATCAAAGAGATAGATCCTCCCGATTCATTTCAGCAAATTCTTGGGGAGGTGCAGGCAGCTGAACTGTGAAGATGATGCCTATGAGCTAGAGCTGATGCAGGGACCCATGTGGGGTGTTCTGGTCAGGTCCTTGGCTGTGCACCCACCCTCCTCAGCTGCCAGCCTTCTTGGCAGTGTGTGGGGTCTGAGATAGGGCTCCTGCAGGTTTTTAGCGGATGTGTGACTCTCCTTAAAGCAGGGAAGGTTGGTCTGGGGGGCAGGGAATACATGGAAGAGTGGAGGTGGTGGCTGCGCCAGCACCATTGCTGTCCTTAATACCTGCACTGGGGTGTGTGGCGAAATCTCCCCTCTGTGACACCTGCACCGGAGGCTTTGTGCCTGCAGTCTGCACTGTTGCTTCCTAGTACAGAAAGCATCCGATATTCCTTGCACTCCTGGCCCTGCATGGTCTGAGAGCCCTCTAGCATGGCCTTGGAAGTTGAATTGGCTTGAAGATGCTTTCAGATGTCACTGTGAGAACACGAGGCCTCGTGACTGGCCAGGTTACCTGAGAACAGGTTTTGTTTTCCTGCTTGTCATTCATTAAATACTTCCTGTGTGTGTGATACATCGCCTGTGAGGTCATCTCTGAGGCTCAGCAAAGTCTAGAAGCTCCCCAAGGTCACCTCGATATGGCTTCTTTGACTGCCGCTGTGCATCATGTGCTGAGGCTAGTCATCCTCACTGGGTCTGTTCCTGGAGTTAGTCACAGCCTGGGCCCTTAGCAGCCCTAACAAGCTAAGCTTGGCCACCCATCCTCAACATGTCAATTAAAGAGACAAATCCTAGGAAGAACCAGAGAGTGAAAACTTACCCAGTGTGCTCACAGAGGTCTGGTACACCCCCACCCCCACCCCCTGTCCGTCTTTATGGGCACTGATACGTGGCTAGGTTTAAACAGAGATTTACGTAGTTGAGCAGTCATGGTCAAGGTTGGTCCTACCCATCATCTTTGGCCTCTTCTCTCCTATGAGATGGTCTGACTAATTGCTGAAATTGTGTGAACTCTTCCTGGGAGACAGTTGTCCTGGGGGAGGCGGGGGGGGGGGGGGGCGGCTGGCATCAGACTTTAGTTTTAGTCTTCTCCCAGCATGAGTTTCCTGGGGGGAAATTCCAATTCTTTGGGAACCATTGTCCCAATGGCCTGATAGGCAAAGGGAGGGGCACTCCAGGGTCTTTAGAATATCTTCCCTCCTGCCAGGATGGTTACAATGATGCTTCTAGTATTTGGTGTAACGCATTTGTAAAACAAGGAGCTGTCTTGTGCAAAACTGCCCACTTAGTAAAAGTGGAGAGGAAATTAGTGGTTATTCAGGGCTGCTGTATTTCCTCTCCAGAACTGGTGACTGTCTCCCGAATCCACAAAACATGTCTGTGGGATGAACACCCTCGGATCAGGGGCTGCAGACACCGTCCAAGGGCTCACTGCTCATGGATGAACTTGACAAGCAGAAGTTTCATTGTCCTGTGTCTTCTGAGCCCCTTATGCCGTTCCTGGTCTCAGGGTCATCTGAGCTGACATGACACACATGGTGTCCCTCCGGCGGACTCCTGGCCCTTTCTGCATGTGACGTTAGGGGTCCTGGTGATGCATGTTCTGTGACTCAGCGGACCTCCAGGTTGGGGAGCAGGTGGCCTGCCTGCCTTCCGGATGTGCCCTTTGCAGCTTTAGCCGGCAGTTGCTTCTGAGGCTGCCCTTTTGCCTCAATGGCGCCTCTGTCCCACTGCCTGCACCCCCTGCCCTCCTGCTGTGTCCTGGGCTGGTGGCCTTTCCTCCACCCGTTGCCTGCCTGCGCTGCCTGCCTCTGTTTGGTAGGCGGGAACCTGCAGAGTCCACCGCAT